TTAAAACATTCACAATTATTTGAACAAAATTATCGATAAATCCGACTCGTTGATCATTAATTTTTTAGTTCGTTGATTAATTACAAGAGAGAGAGAGAGAGAGAGAGAAAAGGAATTATTCGCGTAAAACATTTTTCATTTTCCTCTATTTAATTTATTACGCGTGCCACTCGAGATCATACGACGTACGTTCTAAAAGTCCAAATAGTATGAATTTTTATTCCACAGTGAGATTAAAATATAATCTCGCGAAGAGATTTCTTTACTTACTTTTTTTTTTTTTTTTTTTTCTCCCCCTCTTTCTGACAATATTTCAACATCCGCCAGGGTCATATCCGGCGATCGATACAACCCCCTCTGTTACGTAGAAATTTGCCGTTTTCAAATAGAAACATAAAATATTCCTGCAAGATAATAATAATTTATACGGTTCGCTTTCGCGAGTTAAACGAGCCACGCGAACAATAATATAATAATAATAATTTCCACGGGACGGAAGAAAAGTAGAAGACGATTAAAGATGTTTCATTCATCAATAATAATTACGTTATATACCATTCCTTTCGATATATTTCAACGTATATTTCGTATATCGTTCATTATTGAAATAAAAATGTGTGATAATAAAAATATAGCGTTTACGTAACAGTTCGACACAATGTTGACAATTATTTTTTATTAAGCAAGCAAAAGCTGTCTCCTTCCATCCTTTTTTTTTTTTTTTCTATTCGATCGATAGACACGAAGAATTATTTATTTCAATTCGACAAACGATACATCATACATGTTGAAAATTGACAATTGTTGAAAAAGGTTAAAAAGAATTCGTATGATAATACACAGCATTTTCCCGGTTTCACCAACGCCGAGCAGGACACGTTGACAGCAGTTTCCGTTGCATGGTTGAAAAACAATCGGATAACACAATTGTTTATATTTCGATTTCGTGAATCCGGGACAGCGCGAACGCAGGTCCCGACTACCAAAAATTGTGCGCTCGACATACCCACATTAGGAGTATTCGCAAGGTTCAGCTCTACCTAAGTGCAATGGAAGAGCCTCGCCCAGAAGGAACCGCCTTCGTGATCACGGTATCCTCCGCGCCAAGTAAGTTATAATTCAATACCATTCCCGATAAACTTTATTTGCTCCCCTATCATTTATTTCTCGCGAGAAATTCCATAGAAAACGAATGTCATCTAGTGGACAACGGCCGATCGTGATCGGATCGTTTGCAGAAACGACCGACACGCTCGCTGATCTCTGTTCGTTATGCCCATTGATTTTTGCTTCGTATGGATATATCGACCGTGTTTCCGAACAGGGAACAGGGATATAGATCGCGCAATTACGCGAACTGAAATACCGATCGCGCGGGAAATCGTTTTGTTTTCCAACGATTGTTTCGGATTCTGAAGTTGGACAAATTTGACGAAAACTGGGTGAAAACCAGTTAGAGTATCTGCTATCTCTTTAATCCTTGTTTACTAATAAATAAAAGTAATAAAGAAAAGTTTTATTCGAAATTATTTTGATTTCGTTAAAATTTTTCATCGATAAAATTTATACGTATTTCTTCGAATTCTTCGAATTCTTCTTCAAAAAAAAAAAAAAAGAAAAAATTCATTACGTAATAAAAACATTTCTTCGCGCATAATGAAATAACGTGTTAATTTTCTGAAGCATAATAAAAATATCATGCGATACGTTAACAATTACCGTTAACACCGGTGAGCTATGTGCAAAAAGGAAATGAAAACAAGATATAAAACGTGATAAAAAAACTCAAATAACTCTTGTTCCCTGCGCTATCGTTATCAAGATAACGAGCTGAATAATTTTTAACGAAACTCAATAGTAATGATAGTTCAATGATAAATATTAGTTTCTTTTTTTTTTTTTTTGGTCTATCATTTGATTAAATTTATTACCACCAATGTGAAAGAAAACATAATTCCAACACAATTGACACGTACCAGATCTATCTCGTTTAATTGCCAACGATAAATAAACAGATGAGATCTCCTACGGCGAGTTCGTTTCGTGTAAAAGTAATGATGGATCGGGGTGGAGAGACCAACGACGAAAGAGAAAAATAATATCGGTGCACGATAAATATTTATGGGTCCATTTTTTATATAGAATCGAACGTTCTATTTGTGTCTCAAAAAACTTATCTAAAAACG